CACATATAAACGTAGGCCTCAAAAATCTTTGCTCTGAAGAAAGCAATACTAATGTCATTAACAAGCATCTTATCAGCAGCATAATCGAGGAAATAAACTTCAATTGCGCAGACGGGGAACTACAAAATTTTCCAATTAACCGGAAACATCATAGCATGATAGATGGTGTTCCGAAGTCCACAACGACCACTCCAAAGCAACGGTAGACACATAAAATGAATCTTATCCTTGACAGCGTCCTGTAGGTTGGGGGGATCATCACAAGTCTGAAAGGTTTCAGACCTAGCAAAGTACACCCAAGTCCTGATAAAGGTTTATGCCCAAGCCCCCTTAAAGTAGTCTTACAGAATGATGCCCAGGCAGCGCTGCTACTAGGATGAAGAATGGCCCTAAGGAATTCGCACAAAACAGTATTTTTTCCAGCCGGATTACGACCCAAGGAGGAACCGATGAAGTGAGTAGTGACTTGAAATAGAGGGTGGAGAGAGGGAGAGATCAGACTTAAAATCAAGGATTGGAAAGTTATCCACGTAAAGAATTCATAATGAAGTCACAATGAAGGCCAGGTCTCGCCAACGTGACCACCAATTAAGGTGCCCGAGGTGAAATTGAGTAAAACAAAAAAAATTGACGATGAGGTACGCATATTTACAGAATCTATTCAACAAATTGGATAAACTAAAACTGGCAGTGGACCATCTGCAACCTGATCTGATTGCTCTAACTGAGACATGGTTACATGAGTACACAGCAGATACAGAAGGCAGACTAGAATTATTTGAGCCAATCTGTATGAACCGTAATGGACGTAGGTTGGGTGAATCACAATGGCATTGACTACATCTCAGATAGTTCGTCATCTCGCAGAAACAATTCCTGATAAATATTTAGTTGTAAACTGAGAATACCAAGGCATCCAAACCTTCATAACGCTTTAGTAAACTGATCCCCAGGACAATGCGCGGACGCGGACGATGCACTGAGGTTAAACAAATATGCCGTAGTAAAAAGGTGTTGATAATTAGGAATTTTAACTCTTAAAATATTGCTTCGGAATTGATGCACAGCCCGCGATCGGAAAAATCCTTCGAACAGAAATTAATTTATTTGGTGAGTAATAATTTTCTAAACCAACACGTCACAATGGACACGCGCTTCCGAAGTGGCCAACAGTATAGCTGTCTGGATTTAGTCATTAATAGAGATGAAAAATGTATCCTTGGATTGAGTACTCAGAACATTTTTGGCCGAAGTGATCATTGCATTCTTGTCTGGGAGTACAGACATTTGTCGGTACTTACGGATCGAGCAATAAGCGAGAGAACTTTATAGAAAGGGGATAACACCAAAATGAAAGGATTGCTCATGGAGACTGACTGAAGGCCTGTATACGTATCAGGCCCGAACAACGCCTGGCGCTCCTTTAAGAATTGAACTAAGCAATTAGTAAATAACTGTTGCTCGCTGAAGCAGAGATCGCGCGTATCCTGGCCGGAATTGGTTACACTGATTGGTTACACCGAATTGGTTACACCGATCATGAAAAGGAACTTCAAAAGAAAAAAATCATATACCAGATATCAACAACCCGAACACTTCTCCAAATATAAGGAACAGAGAAATCTATGTTGAAAACTCTTACGGAAAGAACGATCGACCTTAGAAGCAGAACTAGCCAGGTGAATACCTACCAACACAATCAGTTTATTTTTTACGTAAAAGTAATTGAGCTCCCATTCGTTGTCTGAAAGATAACCAAGGAACCAAGATTACCGATAATTCAGATAAGACGAACTTATTGTCTAACTTCTTTATGTCTGTGTATACCGAAGGACCGCCTTTTTACGTGGACGTACAGCGGTCTATTGTCCCAGTGGCAGATACAAATAGCAAGGTGTCGTTGGCAGCAGACACAGTAAGAAAAATCCTGAGGAAGCTGCAGCCCAACAAGTCGCCTGATCCGAATAGCCTCTTAGCGAAAATTCTGAATGACATCCAGAAAAACTGGCCTTCCCAATTTCCAAGATCAACGAAAGTTCGATAGAGAACGTGGCTCTGCCTGCCAACTGGAAGCCATGCAACATAAGGCCAATTTAAAAAAGGAAAGAAAACGTCGATCATAGCTTTAGATCAGTTAGTCTCACAAGCATTTGTTGCAGACTAGTGAAGAAGGTAATCAAAGCGGAACTAATGAGGAGAGTGGATTCAGAAGTAGTCGATATTGTCTCACTTACGTGCAAAATCTATTGAAAGCTGAACGAATTCATTAGAAAATGGCTCGTCGGTCGATGCGATATACATTGTCTTCAGCAGGGCATTCGACAAGGTTTAACACAGACGACCGGAATCAAAGCTACACCAAGTGGGTTAGACTGGAAATCTACTCTAATGGTTAGCCGACTTTCTAACAGCCAGGTGTAAGCATGTTCGTATTATAGACGCCAAATCAGTTTGGAAAACTGTTTCCAGTGGGACTCCGCTACAAAGTGTTCTGGGTCCCATAATGTTTCTAATATATGTGATGAGCAGAGTTTATAAGATGTCTTGAATCCTATACAAATGTTCTGTGATAATTGGCCACCGTATCTCCGTTTCAAAAATGTCAAGTCATCCGTCTACGATCGTCTTACAGAAATGTGATACAAGTTGAGACTGTTTACTTCATCAGAGGACACCAAGTCGAGCAAGTGAACGAACTAAGGTGGATATATGACGCCCACTCTCAAACCTTCAAATCACTGGGCTTAAACTGCAACGAGGACTATGGGCATCCCAGGAATGATCAGCAGATCCTTTGTCTATTTTTATTCGGAGCTTTTTGGACGACAGTTTGCAAAATTTGTTCGGCCGATGTCAGAATATTGCGTTCAGGCGTGGTGCCTCTGAATGAGGCAAGATTACGCAGCGCTGGAGAAATTTCAAAGAAAAACGACCAAAATAATTAGCGGCTAAGGAGGTCTACCATATAAAGGTCGACTAGAAATGCTAAAACATTTTCCTACCTATTATAGGCAATACAGAGGAGATATGATAGTAGTTTGCAAACTCGTCAGCGGAGTAGAATGAGTTCCTCATATGGCTGATTTCTTTAAATTGACAGAACGGGCACACCTTCGCGGTAAGCCATAAAAACTGAAGAAACACCATGCCAAACTAGAAATACGGCCAACTTCTTCTCCCGCCGGGCGCTTGAAGACTGGAACAAACTTCTTCCTCCGTTGCTCTGGCTGAAAGCGTTGACGCATCTAAAAGAAGACTTCATCAGCTTTTACTTGGCGTTCGTACATTTGGTGGACATAAACGATTTATATAATGCACATACATGGTTTTGAAACATACATAAGAGCTACCAGAATCTATCTGAAAATAGGGTTTTCAAAGACTCTGCCCACCTCTTTTATACATAGAATTATCAGACGAGAGAGCAGCGTTTACCGGGAGAGATATATTATAAGCCTGAAGTTGCGGGTAGATGTCTCGTTTACCCATGTTCAGAGAATTGACAACCTGGCTCATTGTCTCCATCTGTATGCGTATGCGTATTCTACCAACTTTGGCTGAGTCACTCTGTGTCACTCGCCGCGCCTTCAATCTCCTCATATGCCCTGTCTGTCATCG